GCGTCGCTCAGGCCTGTGGCGTCCTCAGGGGGGCTCGGAGACTCTAGTCTTTGGTGTCATCATTGCGACAGGGAGATCCCCCCAAAAAAAGGGATGGGGAACCCCAATTCTACCAACCTCAGCCCCCCAACTCCACGGTCCATCACCTCCTTCAATCTCTTCCAAACAGCCCCCCCATATTTCGCTCTCCCCCCCCGCCAAGGACATCCCAGGCCCACAGAACCCCTCAAACCCTCCCCAAGGATTCGCCGGGCCCACAGAACCCCCAAAATCCTCCCCAAGGATTCGCCGGGCCCACAGAACCCCTCAAACCCTCCCCAAGGACATCCCAGGCCCACAGAACCCCTAAAATCCTCCCCAAGGATTCGCCGGGCCCACAGAACCTCCAGGGCCCTCCCATGGCCCTCCCACGGCCCCCGATGCCACCCAGGACACCCCTAAATAACCCCAAACTCCCCCCTCCCACAATGACACCCCCAGCCCGTTTCTCACCCGCTCCCGCCCCGAAAAGGCCCCGACTCCTCCCGCGGCCCCTTTTATAGCCAGCCCGCATGACCCCGCCCACTGCAGGCCACGCCCAGCCGCTTCAAGAGGGCGGGGCTGCCCAGCGGCGGGAAAGCGAGGTCACGCCCTCCCCGCACAAGCTCCGCCCCTTTTGCCTTATTGGAGCATTAGCGCCCTCTCATAGGCCACGCCCCCTCTCCTCGCAGACCCCGCCCCTTTTCCCTTATACGGAGCTTCCATTCATTCTAAGCCCCGCCCCCCGCACAGGCCACGCCCCCACGCGTTTGAGGCCGTTTCGGCAACTTTATTACCAAAAAACAAGAAATTTTACAGCCCGGGGGGGTCGGGGGGGGTCCCCGGGGGGGGTTTGGGGGATCCCGGGGGGGGGTGAGAAGGTTCCCCAGGCCCCTCCCCCCAGCTGCTGCACGGGGAAAAACTTCACGTTTTGGGAGGTTTTTCTTCTTCTCGGGGTTTTTTTTTGTCTTTTCAGGCCGTTTTTCTACAAACCCCCCCCGGGGTGGAAGGGGGGGGGGTGGCGGCCCCTCCCCCGCGGGCGGGCCGGGTTTTTTGAGGGGGGGGGGGGTTCGGAGTGGAAGATGAGGGGGGGTCCCGGGGGGGTCCCGGCGGCGGCGGGGCCTGGGGGGTCCTTATCGGGTCTGTTCGACTGCGGGGGGACAGAGAGAGGGGGGAAAGGGGGGTCAGGGGAGGCACCAGGAGCCCCCCCAGCACCCCCAGACCCCTCCCAAAACACACACAGATCACCCACGGAGCGGGGGGGCTGCTGCCCCCCAAACTTGCTCCAAGACCCCAGAACCCCCAAACCCCCTCCACACCTCCCCCAGAACCCCCAAAGCTCCTCCAAACCCCCCCCAGAACCCCCAAACCCCCTTCAACCCCCCCCCCAGG